AGCAGCAGCAGCAGCAGCACCTGCTGCTGCTGCTGCTGCTGCGCCTCAAAGCCTGCTGCAGCTGCACCCTACTGATCGCTCCTTTATCGTTTACATCTTTTTAGGGTTTTGCATTTGCATGTTTGTGCTGCTGCTGTTCGTCACCCTCATGTGCGTCCTCAGCAGCAAGTGACCCAATCCCTAGGGTTTAGGGTTTAGGGTTTAGGGTTTGGGGCAGAGAGCGAATGAGAGACGCTGCAGCCCTGAAGCTAAACCCTTTAAACAGCTTCAAATAATTCTTTATTAAAAACTTTTTTATTGTTGTTTGTCTTTGAAGGGTTTGCAATTACTCGCTGTTTCACCAACACCCAAACAAACCCTAAACCCTAAACCCTAAACCCTAGACTCTCGCAGGCTAATCTCTATTAATTATTATGGGAAGTACATTGCACTTTTATTTGAGTTTCTACTAAGGATTTAAGACTTCCAAAATGACATTTTTAAAGTTCAAAAAAGGAACTTTTAAATCCTAAAACAACAATAATTGTTTAAGAGTTTTTCAAGAGACACAAAAGAGCATTGGAAATATATTAACTGGATTTTATTTTCCATTTATTTTTTCGTTAAAAAGTAAGGGCTCAACAACATTTATGAATTCGAATTTAGAATTTAGGGTTTAGGGTTTAGGGTTTAGAGTTTAGGGTTTTTGAGAAGGCGATTCCTTCAAAAAGGTAAGTAAAAAACTATGGAATTTTAAATCAAAAAAGCAAATTAAATAAAACTTTTAATTTTCAAACTTTTGCAGAACTCGCTGCATGCATTCTGGGATTTCGGCTGTACGTACACCTCAGCGGTGTACACGCACCACTGCACGTTTTCTGCATTTTGGGGTAAAAAGCTGCTTAAAAGATGCAGAAATTGGCGGAAACTTTATAAAATATAAATATAAAATAGTTTTATATTTATTGGACTTCAAATTAGACAAAAAATCCGGAAAAAAGAAAAAAAATGAAGCTTTGCGACTTATTCCTAGTGAGACCGCGCACGGGAGTTCTGTTTCATTTTCTGATTTTTTTGCAGTTTGCAATCAAAGAAAAGTTTCTTGAAAAGACAGGCCACGGATTTATCCAATTTAGAAAAACAGAATTTTATTTTTTTCTTTTTAAAGAAATAAAATCCTTTTTAGATTCTTGAAAAACTACAAAAGGGTATTTGATGCATTTTACAAGCCGCCCCATTTAGTCTGACCTCAAACGAGCTTTTGGGGAGTTAAAAAAGGGTTTCTGCACTCCGTGTCCCCAAACCCTAAACCCTAAACCCTAAACCCTAAACCCTAAACGCTAGCTACCCAGGGCGGATGGTGTAGTGGTATCACGCCTGATTTGCATTCAGGAGGTCCCGGGATCGATCCCCGGTCCGTCCACTTTGCATTCCTCTTTTCACTTTTCTTTTTTTCATTTTTAATTCATTCATTTCATTTTATTTTTTATTTCGTTTTGTTAAATAAAACTACTAAGCCCCACACAGGGGCACCCACAGCCCCTTTGGGGGCCCCTTGGGGGCCCCTTAGGGGCCCCTTGGGGGCCCCCAGAGGCTCCTGGGGGCCCCTGGGGCCCCCTAACGTTGAGCAGCAGCAGCAAATCATTGATTTTGCTGTTTTATTTTGCCTTTTAGAGAAAGAAGTTGTTGTTGGAAGCAAATAAGGGTTTAGGGTTTAGGGTTTAGGGTTTAGGGTTTAAGGTTTGGGGTTTGAGGTTTAGAAGCGGAAATGGCGCAGCAAAACGGCAACGCCGTAGCGGATTCGCTTGCTGCAGCAGCAGCAGCAACAACAACAGCTGCAGCCAGAGGAGCAGCAGCAGCAGAACAGAGCGCATCAGCAGCAGCAGCAGAACAGCCCGCAGCAACAGCAGCAGCAGATCTGCCAGTAGCAGCAGCAGAACCGCCAGCAGCAGCAGCAGCAGCAGAACAAGCCGGAGAAGCACCAGCAGCATTAGAGCAGCGAGAGGCACGAGCAGCAGCAGCAGCAGCAGCAGCAGAAGAGCCAGCAGCAGCAGCATCAGCAGCAGCAGCAGCAGACAAATCCTGGCTGGCTGATGTGCTAAAGAAAGAAGAATGGGAAAGTGTGGGGCAGCACAAAGCTCGCCAAGAGTACATAAAGAAAGTAGTCGCGGTGAGCAAGGGTTTAGGGTTTAGGGTTTAGGGTTTGGGGTTTGGGACTAGGGTTTAGGGAAACCGCCTAGGGCCAGGGCGCAGCCCCACAGCTAGGTTCAAGGCTGCTGTGGGGCCCACAAACCGCAAACCCCAAACCCTAAACCCTAAACCCTAAACCCTAAACCCTAGGCGCTGCGTGGACTTGGAGGTTTGCTGCACTGCTTGTTTTTGCCGCTGCAGCGAGCGAACTGTGAAGCAAACGAACAAACAAATTAACTAATCAATATTATCTATTTATTTATTTATATTTATTTATTTAATTGCTGCAGGAAATGGAAAGTTCAAAAGAATTAAATGAAGACACTGTGCGGCTGCTGTCGAGTTTGTTCTACTCCGTGCGGTACTTGGGGTGTACGTACACCCCAGAACTCGAGGCGCTGCTGCTCAAGTTCGATTCCAACTTAAAAGCTTTTGTGCAAAAAGAAAGACAAGCAGAAGCAGCAAAGAAGTACAAGGAGCAGCAGCAGCAGCTGCTGCAGTAGCGCTGCTGCAGCACCAGCTGCCGCTGCTGCAGC